AATGAGGCCAGATAATTCTGATTCCTAGAATAGCAGATCAATTATGACTACATTGGTTGTTACATTGGCCGAATTTAACTAGTGGCGTTGAACCGTCACAGTAGGTGATAATTTTGGGTATGCATGAGTATGCAGCATTTATTACGCGGTGTAAAACGAAAATCCATAACAAGACTAAAATTAGTAGAATCGTGGGTTATCGAACCTGGTAGAACGCGACCAAACCAGATCAGGAACACAGAAACCTCAAGACAAGGGTCATTATGGTGTTTACATTACCTAAAACCGCGTTTAATGCGTAAGGATTCCATCAGTAAGGTGGGAACACCTATCATATAATCATCGCAAACTCGTTAACCGTAATCAATGTTATACCTTCTATTCCCTCGATATTTTTGAAGCTTAGATTAGGAGCCATTCCAACCTAGGTGATTTCGCCATAGAGATTGATGAGCCTAAGGTAATACCAACTCATGTAGCAATCAGCTACAAATGAAAATGATGAGCTCTCAATTCCACAGTGGAATTTCAGCTGATACAGTAAAGGCAACAATTTATATAGGAATCAACGCATTAGAAAAGTGAATTGCAAAGCAAAACTGCACACAGTTTTAATATTGAAATGAAAGAGAAAATTTTATTTGATAGTGAGATAAATCAGTATGACAAAATTTGGACTTAATGAGGTCGCATATTATATATATACACATTAATAGTCAAATAAATTAAAGCATAAACGGCTAAAACTCAAGAGGCCACGAGAAAAACGAAGATGTGGCCTAGGAGTTAACTGTATTCCAAAAAATCTGCTGCTACATCAACCTTGCAATTTAGTTCATTTTGACAAATTGCTAAAATTTAAATTCCACAATAACAATAATTAGTGATTTAATTTTATAAATTATGATAGGCTTAACATGTTACATATAAATTTGAATTTTTAAATACTTTGACTTTAGCAAACTGCTTGTTTGCAGTCATGTTTGTTATTGTTTACAGCCATAAAGAGATGTGGAACTTTTTATTTTCAGTTGGAACTGAATATTACATTATTAAAATTTGATGTAGTGGAATTTCGCAAACTTACTGTGGTTAATTTTGCACATTTTTTATCGATTAAAGGTGAATAATCATTTGAAAGTTAAAATTTCTGAAGTGAAATCATAATGGTTGATTTATGTGTGTGCTGAATCAAGTTATTTCCAATAATGTTTAAATACTAGCAAGCACGTCATTGAATTGATGGTCGAATGATAAGATTTCGTATGTCATTTTAAGTCGAAATGTAATTCAGTTTTTCTTTCAAGCTGTTCATTCATTCCCAAGATAGGAGCTGGCTGAATAGAAAAGGTTGCCAATAAAACGATTATAACTAGTTCATATTTGAGGGCAATCAATCAGTTTAACTTTTCTTTGTGATCACCTATATTAAACTGTATATATATATATATATATATATATATATATTTTATTTTAGGCCAAATGACATTTGGTTTTAAAATTATAACAAATTTTGTGAAAGCGACACTAGATCCGTATATGTTGCAACTATGAACTTATCCAATTTTTACGTCAATTCCAAGTAGGTAAACGTTGACTGCGTTCAACAGATCGATGGTATACTCGCCAAATTACAGCTCAAAATTGCACACAAATATTTTTAACTTATTCGTTAACCGCACATAGAAATATGAATCATTAGGCTCTAATATGAACAATGTACCTGATTCCGCTTCTGTGGAATGCACATACACTAGATAGCTTTCGGTGGCAGACACAGCAGGGAGCATAAGGACTAGGTCGTGAAGTTACCCCAAAGTCGTTTTATTAAAATTTTAATTGAATTACTTAACTTAATATATTACAGATAACCATTGGTTGAAGTACCTGCCTAGGTACTCGAACCAGGATGTTTCTATTGTTTGACTAGTGGAGAATTAGACAATCATCAGAATTACATGGACACTGAATTTATGATGATGGCCACTTACCAAAGTCTTCATTTCATAATTTAGAATAAAGTTGACTCATCCGTCATCTACCATAAATTCATCTCAATTTTATACTAAAAGATTAAATGTTAATTTTGACAAAGCTGGAAGGTGAACAAAGTAAGCATAAAATAGGAACAAACCATATATATTTTTCAAGCACATGGTCTTAGAATTCCACGATACTAACCATTACTTAAACAAGATTGTACCAATAATTTTTAAACACAAGTTAACATTAAGGAAACAAAATTTTATAAAGCTTCAAATTTTAGCCGATATTGTATAAAAAGGAAAATAGAAATTAAATTCGTACCTTTGGACACAGTTCTTATATCTCAACAGAATTTGCAAAGTTTCAAATGCTCTTTCATTTAATAATATGTCAATTCCAACTCCAGATATTAAATGCCCTTGTTTTGTTTAATTTTTGGGTAAACGTATTATATTAGAGATAAAAATTTCCACTTTAGATTAATTTTTTCAAACGTTTTAGACGGTACTTCTATTAAGGCGAGATATTTTTATTTTAATAAATAAATTAATTATTGAGAAATCCATACGTTGGTACCTTTTCTTGTTTATATGTATTGCAAAGATCGTTTACTATTTAGCCCCACTCTCGCCCACTTTGCAAAACAGTCTATTCGTTCACGTGTAGGGTGTTGATGATTGCCTCAACTGACGTAGCTCTTCCAATAACCGATGATGGAGAGTCCAAACATGGCACCGTCAAGCTGAAGAAAGAAATTGGCATGCTTCAAGCTGTCAGTATCATTTTCGGTATTATTGTTGGATCTGGTATCTTTGTGTCTCCAGTGGGTGTTCTTCGCCAGACCAACTCAGTTGGTCTGTCCCTTATCATGTGGATTGTTCCAGGACTTTTCAGCTATCTGGGTGCTCTAGTTTATGCTGAATTGGGTGTTCGAATTCAAAAGTCTGGCGGTGAATATGCCTACATTCTGGAGGCATTTGGTGGTCTTCCAGCTTTTATCGTGATGTGGATAAACTTCGTGATCATCGGTAGTGTCAGCTGCGCTGCTAACTCTCTAGCTTTTGCTGAGTATATATTGCAACCGCTGTATCCTAACTGTCCTATCCCCACTCATATCATTTCCATGGTCGCTATCTGCGGTCTGAGTAAGTCATTTTGTTTCATGTGTACTTGCTTTAGTGCTTATCTGTGCGATTAACTGCTACAAGGTGAGCTGGGCGGCTAAAGTAGCGGTTGTCTTCTCCTTTGGGAAAATAGTCGCCTTACTTCTGATTATTTGCTTCGGAATGTATAATCTATTCAAGGGTAATGTGTTGTCTTATTACAACTTTTTATGTCTCTTACTTTTCCATTAACATGGATGATCCGCTTTCTAGGTCACACGGAAAGTTTTCACAACGCCTTTGAGGGCTCGAATTATTCACCTGGCTACTTGGCATTGGCATTTTACCAGGGCTTCTGGGCATTTTCTGGATGGCAAGTCTGGTTATTTTGAAGTTATTAGCGTTAAATTATATTTGCTTAATCAATTTCTTAATTAAATTCCAGGAACTATCTGAATTTCTTAGTGGAAGAGATGCGAAACCCTGGAAGGTGAGTCAAGATGCTATTTTTGAATTCTCAGGTTTCAAATTAGTCTATGAAGAGAGTACTTTAAGTAAAGGGAAGGATAATATAAGCATCAGAATAGTTAATGAACTATTCGTCGTTAGTTTTAATTTAGAGCCACACGCTTGAATAGGCTCGGACATCTAAAGAGGTCAGTTCATATTCTTAGTTTATGAGATATCAGCATAATCCGCACATTGAAGTCAGATAATAAAAGGACGGCATCAATCGGTTATGATCTTATAAGGTAACCCATGGTTTCTTTTACAAGCAACTGTAAGTATAGATTGATAATTGTAAAATTTGAACTGTAGCCTGGGTGTGAAATTCGTCATGCGGCATAAGCACATAAAGCTCATACACTTATAGATATCATACGTATAATATTTCGCTCAATAATTATAATTTTATTAGTGGGACTTAACTTATTCAGTTCAATTTAAAGGCATGACCTCAAAGAGTATTTCAGTGTGTGATAACTTTAGAAAGGTCTAGGGTTATTGGAATGATAGGTAATGAAAAGATTATTCTACTTTGCAGAGACTTGCCACGGGCAATCGGCCTTGGATTATTCCTCGTCACCCTTCTCTATATGCTCACGAATGTTGCCTACCTGGCAGTGCTCAGTCCACATGAAATGCTAGAGGCTGCAGCTGGATCATCGGCCATTGCTGTGGTCTTTGCTCAACGTGCGATGCCCTGGTTGACAGCCATCATGCCTCTCTTTGTCGGAGCTTCTGTCTTCGGTAGTATAAATGGTGAAACAATGGGTGTGTCTAGATTGACATATACCGGTGCTCGAGAGGGACACATGCCTGCTCTTCTTGCAATGCTGCACTATCGCAATCTCACTCCTATTCCAGCAGTACTTGTTTTGGTATGGCCCTATAATGCTATCTTTGGTCCTAATCGACTTTTCTGAGGCATTCATATTTGATGGATTTTGCTTTCAGTTGTTTCTAGCCATAGGATTCCAGTTCTATAGTGACCTCTTTGCACTAATCGAATTGGCCGGTTTCGCCTTCTCATTCATTGCAGCCTTGGCCACTTGCTCTCTAATCTACATGCGTTACAAGGAGCCCCATGTTAGAACCTCATTTCGGGTAAGAGCATTTCTTTTGACCACGAGAAAATACATTCGATTAATCGTAAATGTATAACCCCATTTGCACTTCTTAGCTGCCAATTTTCTTGCCAATCGTCTTCCTTCTTGCCGACTTGTTCATTTTGGCCCTGACAATATATCAGCAGCCACGTGAATCTCTCTACAACGTGATAATTATGTTGGCGGCAATTCCAATCTATTGGTTTGGCGTTTCGTGGAAAAACAAACCAGTCTCCTTCCAAAGGACAGTCAGTAAGTTATCGAGACTAATATACTCTTGCATATGACTAATATACCAATTGTTCACTATCCGTAATATCGAACTTAACCGATAACCTATTTGTACATTTAGACAAAGTTACGGTACTTGGCCAGAAAACCTTCTCATGTGTGCCAGTCGAGGATGAATCCCAATTGGATGGTGTACCACTCGAATCTAGAGATGAAGATTGATTTTGTTTTTCTCATTCGGATTCTCTCTGAAACTGCTTGGGATTTTTGGTTTTGTATGTATGAATTATGGTAACTGAATAAATAAGGTATTCATAGCACAAGATCTTAATATCTCATGCTCGTGTGGGACAATCAAATTTAAATTCATTATTTCTCTGAAGAGTGTAACATTATGACGAGCATATTAGAATTCGAAAAACTCTGCCTAACACGGAAAATGATAAATTAGACCTTAACTAAAAGCTCAAAATGAACCTTTTGAAAGGACGATATAACTTTTTCGCACGTTTTGGTCTCTCGTTACACCTTCGCTGTCTGTAATAAATGTCGCAACTACGTCACATTGAAATTGTGCTAAAAATGGTGATGCCGTGCAATTAAAATAGGCTGTCAGTATCATCTTTGGGATTATTGTTGGATCTGGCATTGTGGGACACGCTATCGCTTTGTGCGTTGTCGCATGTCTGCACTCTAGGATTGGGAGGTGCGCCGTACAACTCTGTATGCAGCGACCGCACAAACAGTGGCCAATCATCAACCTCTGTTTAACCTAATCCCCCATACTGATCATGAGTAGCTCCCTGCGTGTACCCGCACTGAATGAACGTGCTCCGTGCTACACGTCTGTTTCCTTTATAGCTGGGCTATAGCTTAGCTAGTTCTGGGAGTCTAGCCTGATGTTGGAGAATCTGCTATAGAGATTTCTGAGTTAGTCAGGTTTTACTAGCGTAGCAATCCACTACAGCATCTTCGTTTCTCCTGTTGGTGTTCTAAAGCAAACTAATTCTGTTGGTCTATCTCTAATAATGTGGATTGTGCCAGGACTTTTTAGTCTCCTCGGCGCTCTTGTTTACGCTGAA